AATCGGTTTTCCACGAGTGGGAACTCCGGTTTGGAGCCCCGAGGTGCCGACCTCGCGGGCAAGGTTCCCGACCCGCCTGCGAGCTGCGAGGCGGGGATGACTTTTCTCTCTCTCCGGCCTGGGGACGAGGCCTGGCTGTTTGGGGGGCTCTCCGGCGTGGATAAACACCACCTATGTTTCATAACAACTAATGTTTTCAATCCGTGTTGACCTAGTTGGTCAAATTGTTTGGACCATCGTCCAGCCAAGATTTTGGGTTCGGTTCGGTTCAGTTAAGACCCGTCAAATAGTTAAAAGTCGTTGGTTTGGTCAAGAATCATTTGACCGTTGACTCATTTGACCCAGTGATAATCACGGGTTGTATATTCAATGCATACAAAATTTTCAATAAAAATTTTAAAAACTAAATTAAAAAATATAAAATAATACATATAACATATCTAAAACATATTTATATATTATTTTATGGTAAAATATATATTTATGCATATATATGTATAAAATATATGTATATATATACCGTTCGACTTGCCGGTTGAACCGGTGACCCGTGAACCGGATGCAAAAACGGTTTGGCCTCCAAGTCGGTTTTTAAAACATTGATAACAAATTAATAGCCATGGTTTTTAAAAACGAACCAGTGACCAAACCGGTCAGGGGTCCGTTAACGGTTCGAATGGTCTGACCGTTCGACCTGAACGGTCAACCCATTCTGACAAAAAAAATTACAAAATTGGAAAACGGTCAAAACCATTCGAACGGTTAACCATCCGGTTCAACGATTTGCTGACCAAAATGAACGGTTTTGGAAGAAATTCCCGGTTTTCCGGTCCGACCGCCCAGTCCGGTCCGTTTTGAAAACAGTGTTAACAGCCACTCTGTTCTCAACCATCATTCAAAACACAGCCGTGAATTTTCGCCCTGTCTCCGTTTTGGATGGCGTAATTTGTAATTACCAAACCAACCTCGTCAATACACAAAACACCCTACATAGTTCTATCCGGTACAAGTGCATCTTACACCATATATTATGCAGGACCCACAAGATTCATATGGGGGACCACTTGTACCAGGAGTAATGATACAATACAGTAAAACAAAATTGTGTCCTTTTTTGATAAAAAGAGAAGAATCGCTAATTTTTGTTGATAAGTATAACCCCTTACACCATTAGCCTTATCTACCGTCTCTACGCCACATGACAAACTGTCTCTTTCTATGGCCTACGGGATACACAACCGTGGGATCAGCATCCAATCCAACAGTTGAGATGTCCTAAGAATCTGCTTTGCCTCCGAATGCTGCTAGGTATTGACCATTAAGCAACAAAACGAAACGATACCACGTGGGTCTCTCACTTCACTTCTGCTGACTGCTGGTTGTAGAAAGTAGAATACGACCTTCCCATTCAAAGACTAATGTTAAAATGGAACCGCCTTTTGATAACCACCAGATTGGAATAAATTACTTTTAAGTCCCCATTTATTCCAATCTAGCGGGCCTTATGAAGCTCTTTCATCTCTGGCCAACTTCGACCGGTGTCACCTACCCTTTCCGTCTTCTACACTCAAAACCTGAACCTCTTTCATCTTTCTTGCTTCTCCGGCTACCTCAACGATCGAGCCATCACGAGATAGAGAGAGGGAGATGAATTCTTTTCGATTCGGTATACATAGACCTGTGTCTCTAACGGCAATCCTTTATTATGCCGGTCTCTTATGCCTAGCTTTCCTATTGACGCCGTTAACGGCCGTCGACGACACACCGACGGCGTATGAGGTCCTTAAAGACTATGACTTCCCGGTAGGCCTTCTCCCAAAAGGGGTCCTCGGTTACGATTTGGATAAAACCACCGGCAAGTTCTCTGTGAATTTGAATGGCACTTGTAGTTTTTCTCTGGAGGGTTCATACCAACTAAAATACAGGTCCACCATTAACGGTTATATCTCCCAAGGCAAGCTCACGAAGTTACAGGGTATAAGTGTGAAGGTCTTCTTCTTTTGGGTTAACATCGTCGAGGTTACTCGGTACGGCGACGAGCTAGAATTTTCCGTCGGCATTGCTTCTGCTAGTTTCCCTGTTGATAACTTTGAGGAGTGCCTGCAGTGTGGGTGTGGCATGGATTGCGTCAATGCCCAAGTAAAGAGTATTAGAACCAACCCTTTTGCCATTTCTTCTTCTTGGGGAAATAATTTGTCTTAAATTGCAAAAGAAGAAGAAAATAAAAGAGAAACATTGTGGATAATTTGAATACTGAAACCTACTTTTATTTTCTCTATTTGATAATATCCGACATTGGTTTTACCTACTCAGTTCAGCTATACCCGAGTATCTTGGTCTTGGTTTGTTATCATCTCTGCTTTTTATTTGCGTCTTTTGTTTTTTCATGGCTATAATGTTTCTATCGGTTTTGCTAGTAGCTTACGAAACCAGAGGAGAACGCAAACTTTGAATCAGCAAAACATAAATTGTGTCCATTTTCCTGCAATTTTAGGGTGAGGATCCAAAAGTATTGGTTTTTTTGTGATAAAACGAGAATGGATCTGGTTATCGATGCATAATCCTAGTAAAGTTTTTGGACTTGGTTTTTCTGTTGATATTTTTTCTAACCAAACCTGGGGGGTGCATCTATACTGGTTATCTCATTGTGAAATGGGAATACAGAAGCAAATTATGTTTCTACCACTGTTTTTTTGCTTCTTCATAGGATCTGGTTGGCCCTTTTTTATTCATAATAATAGAAGATTGAAGGAAGTAGAAGTATTACAGAGGGAAAGGATGTTTATCCTGCTTTTGTCAATAGAGAACATGGTCTTGGTTGATCTTTGGAACCAACAGGATAGGATGTTTATCCTGTTTATAATTCATCGTAACATATAAGGCCATTCTATTGAATTTTGTTTTGTATTTAAAATCAGTAGATAGTATAATAGATTTTCTTTGTTTTCTAGAGAAGAGAAGTTTCTAGTAGCTCTGTGACTACACTTGTTCAGAGAGTAGTCTAGACTTCAGAGGTGAAGATGTATCTCAGTTGAAGAATCATAAGCTTATGATGTCAGTCATGTAGGCTTCGAGGGTTTAACATTGGTCTGAGGGAGAATCTAGAAACTTTTTCTTGGCTCTTTCTGGATTTTGATCTTCTTGTGGAAACAGCATGGTTGCCCTTTAGTTTATCTGTTTCTATCCTATTCATCATGATTCAAGTGATCACTTGTTCAAACTAGAATAACCATGCTCTCCTATAATAAGCAACACCCAGGCCTTGTTCTTCTAGGAGAGAATGTATTATTCCCAAATATGTTGCTTCACTTAATATATGCTATCTACTAAGCTTACTGACACCCATCCCCATATAAAATTTCTTAGGTTCTGAGGTTTCCTATATTGGAAAGTTGATGGGTTTTAGGCTGTTAGTTACCTCAGTTTGCAATAGAAATTGAGCATTAAGGGTATGGCATGAACTCTGCTACACTACTTGGCCAATGCCTGGAATGTCTACCAGTAGCTGCTGATTCCGTCAGACATAACAAATGATGCATTGTCAGAAGTAACAAATATGTCAAGGTCTGGAAGATCACGAATCTAACATAGCACCAATAAACCACAAAGTAGGTTCTGACACAAAAGATAGCAAAGAATGCTATAAAGCTACTACTCATTTATGTTAGCTTTTGATACATTTCTTACAGTAGCATGAAATGTATGGTTTTTGAATGCATAAGGTTTGAAATCTGTACCTAAGAAAAACAAATAATAATAAAAGATTCACAAGTTGTGCCCCTAGCAATAATTATTAGCAACACCAGGAGGTAGACAAGAGATTTGAGCTAAGTAGCTGTTTCTGTTACTTACACTTGATGTTGCATAACCTATGCCCCTCATGATACAGTTTACTGTTGGATATGAGACATGATAGATTATTGTCTTGGTTCTATACAGTGGATGACATTCCATCAGTTTGAGTAAGCATGCCTATGAGCAGGAGTAATCCTCTTGAGACAGGTTAATCTTCATTGGAGGAATTACATGATGCATAGTTTTCTAAAACTTGAGTTATTAGAGAAAAGAAATAATTGTGTTTCACAAATTTATAGAACCTAGCTTTTCTGTAGTTGGATGCAACCAGATATGATGCTAGGAATTGATTAGATAAGAGTATTTTACTTTTACGAGGAAGGTTAGTCTTGCAACACCTTTAGATGGGCACAAATCCATTTATGATTATTCACTAGAAAATCTAATGATTAGCATGAGGCATATGCTGAACCAACAGGAGACTCAGCTAGCTTGGCCAATGTTGGCTTAAGGCATTTAGGTGAGCTTAGATCTGTTTAGAGATGCTAGTATACCATCTGTAAGGGCGCGGGCATCTGACCCAGTTCAACTCATCTTGAGCCAAAACAGGTTAGCAAACTGAGCCAGCCACTTATGCTGAGTAAAGAAAATTGTAAATTCTAGAAGATTCTTTAATTAGAGAAAGAAAAGAAAAATATAAATAAAGGAACCCATTTCTGAATGGATCTGATAGATCCCAGGAAGGCGCTCCAGCCCCAAGCCAAGCAGTTCAACATTTTAGGACCATACATTGAATTTGCACAACCCATGACCCAGTGACCAGGTTGAATGGGTCAACAGTTCAACTACTCAGGCTGGACGATTTTTGACCAAAAGGTGGGTTTAGGAAAGGTAGACTCAAAATCTTGACCAGGTGTCAGTTTGAACAGTTTGATCATCTGGGTCAATGGCGGGTTGAAAATATTGCTCCTGAGTTCCTAAGAGTGACTTCATTTCTGATCCTATTTTTTCAAATTTTCCACATGAATGTCCTTGATAGATTTAGAGATTTGAAAATTTGAGATTGTGTATATTTTACTTATTAGTGTGGATATATGGTGATTTGATAGTAAACTAAGCATGAACAACCTGAATGATTCTTGGGTTCTGCTAAGTCTATCTAATAAATCAGTTTGGTCATCAGAAGATCCAATCAGCTTCAATGGTAATCCTTCAAATGGATTAGTAACTCAAATTAAGAAATTTGGACCTCAAACTAAATTATTTCCCTGTTACTTGGTATTTGGGAAACTACTGGCAGGGTTTGGTAGTTAGTCTGTTGAATACCTCAATTTTTCATCACAAAAGGCAACCTTTACATCAAGAGTCAAGTCAGTCAAGGAATGTAACTTCAGATAAAATGAGATTTGCTAGAAAATATATGAATCTAAGTTTAAAGAAAAAAATTGTACCAATAATACCTAAATAAAAAATTTTCCCTTTTTTTTGGCTTCATGGGGCTACCCAACAAGGGTAGCCCATTTCCCACCCCTTAAACCCCCATAACTGCCTAGCCCTAGTGGCAGATGGATTTGATCCAGATCCTATCAACTGAGCCACCATCAGTTAAAACCCATATTTTTTAAGGTTAAAAACATACATTTTTTTCTTTACATGTAAAAAGTCAAATTAAAAGCCATTCACCCATCTAGAATCATATATGAATAATGTGCTGGATTCAACAGTTAATTAGGTCGTTGGTGTTTCGATTTCAGCACACAACACACAAACATGACTTTTTTTGGGCATTGGGAAGGCGGGTTTTGGTGTGATTACAAGGGATTTCAGGGGTCAAGCTATTGCTGTTTTTTTGGTCAAGCTCAAGTTGGTTCCCCTGTTCAAGATGAAGCTTTTGCAGTGATTCAACGTCTGAAATTAACTGTGCCGATGCAGATTGCAGACTGTTGCATAGAATGTGACTGTTTGAATTTGGTTTAGGCGGTGTCTTGTGAACAGTCAAGTATGAACAGGGGTGCCTTGTTTCTTGTTCAGGATATCCCAAGTCTGTTGAAAAACAGGAATTTTGTTATCAGTTTTGTTAGTTGGTCTGTAAATTCAGTGGCCCATGCTCTTCCTCAATGGATCCAAGACCTGGTTGCTAAGGACTTGGCTGTTCTGTATTAAGTTTTCCTTTCCCTGTTTTCTGAGTTTCTTATCCTTCTGTACCAAAAAAAAATTCCTTGCACTGATATGAATAATTAATTATGTATCTTTTTTTTTTGTAGAAAAATTATGGATCTAATTGAATGATTTATTGATGGTGCCAATAGGCTAAGGTCTCTGACTGGTTTTTGTGGAGACTTAGATCAAACCCTGCTGTCACCAGGGTTGGGGAGGTTATGGGTGGGGTACAGGATTAAACCCATAGAACAGTACTCTGTGGTATGGTCAATCGGCCTCAGTAGGGCTGCAAAGGGTATCCGATTGTCTGAAATCCGAATTGATCCCATTATTGTCTCTCAGTGGGGTTGGTTTGAATGTTATGTTTTTTGCCAAACTGTAATAGGTTCAAGTTTTACAAAAGTAATTTTCAATCTATAGGTTCGCGATTTACTTAAACTGTCATTTTCCACTGTCACGTAATGAAGGTTCAAACTATAGTTTCGCGGATTTACTTAAGCTAATTGATTGCAAACTATAGGAACTGTCATTTTCCACTGTCATGTAATGAAGGTTCAAACTATAGTTATAGTTTCGCGGATTTACTTAAGCTAATTGATTGCAAATTATAGGGGTGTTTTGGTAAAAGAAACTATAGGTAGGTTTTAGTAAATCTATGAAACTATAAAAGGTGTTTTAATAAATTACCTTAAGTTGTAATATTAAAATTATTTTTAGTTCAATTTGTTAATAATTACAAATTAAATTCAACTCGAATTTGTTGGATAAGATCTAATTTGAATTTGAATATAAACAATCAAAATTTAAATCTACTTGTGTATGATTAAATGCGACCCATTTAAAGTTGTAGGCCTCATGATCACCCTGTTCTGTCCTCATCCCTGAGTTGCCATTATTGTGTTCTATGTCCTCATCCCTGAAAGATTGAATAATTTTATTTAYTATTAATTAATTGATAAATTTATAATTAAAATTTGTTATTAATTAACTAAAAGTACTAAAAGTTATGGTTAATATTTAAAATTTTAATAATTCTATTTTTCATTTAACGTTAATTTATAAAAAAATAATTAATGTTAATTTAATATGAACAAATATTTTTTAATAAATTTAATAATTGTTATTATTTTTAAATAAAAATTTCATTGACTTTAAATAAATAAAAATAATTACAAAAGCTAAAATTTTTATTAATTTCGCTAATAACTAATAATTATTTAGGAATGGCAATGGGCGGGTTTGGGGCG